TAAAAAAAGAGAAGTCACAAATTACTAAAATCAGAAGTGAAAAGAGACAATCACTAGTGACCTTAAAGAAATAAGAATTATAAGACAATACTATACATAATTGTATATCAACAAGTTAGATAGCCTAGGGGAAGGGATACATTCTTAGACACACCCAATTTATCAAAATTGACCCAAGAAGAAAGAAAATTTGAATTCATCTATAACAGGTTAAGAGAATGAATCAGTAATCAAAACTTCCCAAAACAAAAAAGACCTGGACCAGATGGCCTCACTGGTGAATTCTACCAAACTTTTAAGGAATAATTCACACCAATCCACACCAATAATTCACACCAATTCACACCAGTTGAAACAAATATTTCAAAAACAATGGAAGAGATAATACTCCAGTTCTGTGAGGCCAGCATTGCCATGATTTCAAAGCCAGATAAAGGTATCACAAGAAAAGCACACTATAGACTTATATCCCTCATAAAAACACATGCAAAAATGCCAGCAAACCAAATCCACCAGCCTATTAAGTCAATTGTATAGCATGCCAGTTGGGATTTATCCCAGGATTGCAAAGAGGTTTGCATATGAAAATCACTCAATGTAATATACCATATTAATAAAATGAAGGAAAAAAATAACATGATCATCCCAATGGATACCAAAAAACATATGACAAAATCTAAAACCTTTTCATGCCAAAAACACCTAACAAACTAGGGATAGAGAACATATGTGAAAAATGCATAGCTAAGATCATACTCAATGGTGAAACAGTGAAATCTTTCCCAAGATCAAGAATAAGACAAGGACGTTTGCTCTTAGCATTTTTTTTTTTTTTTGCTCTTACCACTTTTATTCAACATTCTACTGGAAGTTCTAGCCAATTAGGTAAGGAAAAGAAACAAAACCATGCAAATTGGAAAGGAAGAAGTAAAACTATATCTACAAATGACACGATCTCATATGTAAAAAATTATATATGTATATATAGTTACAGTTAATATAATTATAATAGTCAGGTGGGGAGTTTCAAAGAGAAATGGAAACTATAAAAAAAAAGAACCAAATAGAGGGTGCCTGGGTGACTCAGATGGTTAAGCATCTGCCTTTGGCTCAGGTCATGATCCCGGGGTCCTGGGATCGAGTCCTGCCTCAGGCTCCCTGCTCAGTGGAGACCCTGCTTCTCCCTCTGCTTCTCTCTCTCTCTGTCTCTCATGAATAAATAAATAAAATCTTTTAAAAAAAGGAACCAAATAGAAAATCCTAGAACTGAAAATTACAATGTTTGGGGGGAAAAAATCCCAGACAGATTTTGCATTCTCATAAAAGCAGAGAAAATACCAAGTGAATTTATAGAGAGAAGTCAATAAAAGAGGCAAAATATGAAGAGAAGAAATTAAAATGTTAACAAAAAATAAAATTCTAAAGAATCCCCATAAATCTAGGAGAGCTAATAGAATTAATCAAAATTAAAAGATACAGGATCAACACACAAAAATCACTATGCATGAGCAATCTAAAAAGGTAATTAAGAAAACACTTCCACTTACAAAATCATCCAGAAAAAATACTTAGGGTGCCTGGGTGGCTCAGTTCATTAAGCGACTGCTGTAGGCTCAGGTCATGATCCTGGAGTCCCAGGATCAAGTCCCACATCAGGCTCCCTGCTCAGTGAGGAGTCTGCTTCTCCCTCCGACCCTCTCCCCTCTCATACTCTCTCTCTCTCATTCTCTCTCTCTCTCTCAAGTAAGTAAATAAAATCTTAAAAAAAATACTTGGAAATATGTTTAACCAAAGAGGTGTGAGACTTGTACATATAAACTACAAAACATCACCAAAAGAAATTAAAGACCTAAATAAATGAACAGTCATCACATGTTCATGAGTTGGAAGACTTGATGTTAAGATGGTGATACTCCCCAAAGTGACCTCAAAATTCAATGCAATCCCAGTCAAAATCCCAATATGCTTTTAAAAAAATTTAAGATATTATTTACCTATCTGAGAGAGAGAGAGAGAGAGAGCATGCACACAAGCTGGGGGAGGGGCAGAGGGAGAAGCAGACTCCCCACTGAGCATGGAACCAAATGTGAGGCTCAATCCCAGGATCTGAGATCATGACCTGAGCTGAAGTCAGACACTTAACCCACTGAATCACTGGTGCCCCTCCCAATGTGAACTTTAGAAGATATGGAAAAACTTATTGTAAAATTGATATGGAATTGCAAGAGACCCCAAAAAGCCTAAACTATCTTAAAAAAAAAAAAGGAAAGGAACAGAATAGGAGAATTCTCACTTCCTGATTTTGAACCTTACTACAAAGCTACAGTAATCAAGACAGAGTAGTACTGGCATAAGCAGAGACATACAGATCATTAGAATAGAATTGAAAGTCTAAAAATAAATCCATTCTTCTGTGGTTAACTGATTTGCAGTAAGCGTGCTAAGAACATTAAATGGAGGAAATAATACTCTGTTCAACAAATGGTGCTGGGACAACTGGATAGCCATGTGCAAAAGAATGAAGTTAGACCCTCTCTCACACCATATATTAAAAAGGACTCAAAATAGATCAAAGACTTAAATATAAGAGGTAAAACTCTTAGAAGAAAACATAAGGGTAAATCTTCATGATCTTAGATTGGGCAATGATCTCTTTGACATGACACGAGAAGTACAAGTACCAAGAGAAAAAAAAGTCAATAAATTGACTTCATCAAAATTAAACTATTTTTTAAAATGTTATTCTTTTGAGAGAATTAAAAGACAACTTACAGAATGGAGGAAATATTTGCAAATCATATATCTGAAAAGGGTCTAGTATCCAGAATACGTACAGGACTCATAATTCAACAATGAAAAAAAACAAGCAACACAATTAAAAATGGGCATAGGCCTTGAATAGACCTTTCTCCAAAGAAAGATATGCAAATGGACAATAAATACATGAAAAGATGCTTAACATTGTCAGCCACTAGAGAAACGCTAATCAAGACCACAATGAGATACCACTTCACAGTCACAAGAATGACTTTTTTAAGTGGAAAATAACAAGCATTGGGCAACTTTTGCAGATATTGGAACCCTTACGCCTAAGCAGGGGGGAATATAAAGTGGTGTAGCTGCTGGGGAAAACAGTTTGGTGGTTTCTCAAAAAGATAAATATAGAATTACCATCCCATCCAGCAATTCTGCTCCCAGGTATGCACACAAAAGACTTGAAAACAAGTGTTCAAACAAAAACTCGTATATGAACCTTCGGAGAGCATTATTCATAATAACCAATAGGGAGATGGGACCCAAATGTTCATCAGTTGATGAAGAGCTCAACAAAACACGGTATATCCATACAATGGAGAGTTATTCAGTCACAAAAATGATTGAAGTACTACAACATGGTAATACAACCTCAAAAACCTCAAAAACTTTGTACTAAGGAAAAGAGGCCATATGCAAAAGGCCATATACTGTGTGATCTCATTTCTTTTTTTTAAAGATTTTATTTATTTATTTGACAGACAGAGATCACAAGTAGGCAGAGAGGCAGGCGGAGAGAGAGGGGGAAGCAGGTTCCCTGCTGAGCAGAAAGCCAGATGTGGGGCTCGATCCCAGGACTCTGGGACCATGACCAGAGCTGAAGGCAGAGGCTTTAACCCCCTGAGCCACCCTGGAGGCCCTGTGTGATTACATTTCTATGAAGTATCCAGAATGGGCAAATCCAGAGGCAGAAAGCAGATTGGTGGTTGCCAGGGGCTGAGAGGAGAGAGGAATGATACATAGGGGGCTTCTGTCTGGGGGAACCAAAACCATTCGGGAACTAGATAGTGGTGATGGTTGCACAGCGTAGTAAATGAACTTAATGCCACTGAATTGTATAGTGTACCATGATAAGTTTTGTTATGTTTATTTTATCACAGTGAAAATGTTATCTTAATTCAATCCTTCTACCAAATCAGACTAATTTGTCTGATTTAGCGGTATTCTACAGAAAATACATATAGTCTAAGTCCATAAATCAGTGAGCATCCATATCCCCCTACCACCTGCCTGTGCTTTAACTTTGTTCCTAACTTGATTGTTTTTTCTTCTTGTTGACACATCTAAAAAAGGTTACTTCATTCCATAGGATCTTGTAGCATCAAAGCAGTTTTGTGCTAACTGACCAATGATCTTTATTATCAATTAATTACCTATCAATTCCCAAGGTTGATTGTTCTAAACTCTACTTCACGTTAAAAGTCCTTTCAAGTTTGGGATGCCTGGTGGTTCCGTTGGTTGAGCCTCTGACTTGGTTTCAGCTTGGTTCATGATCTCAGGGTCGTGGGATCGAGCCCCGGGTTGGGCTCCGCATAGGGTCTGCTTGTCCAGCTCCCTCCCGCTCTGCCCTTCTGCTCTCTCTCTCATAGATAGATAGATAAATAGATAGATAGATAGATAGATAGATAGATAGATAGATAGATAAAATCTTTAAAAGTCTTCTCAAGTTCAGCAACAACCAATTAAATTAACCACACATTAGTTTGAGAATGGAAGTATTGATATGGGCACCATCTATTAATTTTTCAATTGTTGATGGATATTATTTGGTTGACCAACCTAGATGTATGAAATGTACATGTCGAATGCTTTTTCTTATAGGTGCGTGTCTACCAAACAATACTACGTGCCCCAACCTTTGAGATTCTGGCATTCGAAAACATAGAGGCTTTACTTCCACAAAAATCTCCATTGTTTTCTTCTCAAAAGAACTGAAAACATCTGCAAACTATTATTGTTTTCTGAAATACTGTCTTCCATTGCTTATAAACCAAAGTGCTGATTATTTCATTTGTAAAATTGGACAGAAAATGTAAATCACCATGCAAATCAGAAGTCAAAAATGGCAGCTCCTTCCTCAAGTGGCCCCCTAGTGCTAAGCCACAGCAGAAGAGAGCAAAAGGGATTATGCTTCTGACCTGGATCCCCCAACCAAACCTACCACTTAGAATGTGGCTAACACTCACCTTCCTCATTGACATAATCTTGATTGGTAAATCTTTCCTCTGTGGGATCTTAGGTGACTCCTCATCAACAGAGGTTTCTTCAAAGTCAGCAGAGGTTGTGTGAGATCGGATCAGAGGGGGACTGCTGCTTGAGTGGCGTCGGTGCAGTGAGGGGAGCTGGGAAGGAGGAGAGTAGAAGGAAAATGTTAGAACTTGTGTGCTTTCCTTCAAATTACTGGTGTTCTATTGTTGCTCAATGGTTGAAGTACCAAGACCCCAACATGAAAAACAAGCCATGGAAAGAATCTCCTTCCCCTCTGTCCTCACTTTTTGACCTGTGTAGACCAAAGACCAATAGGCTTGAGTCACTCTCTGGGCTGCAGCACACTTTTGCTAATCCCCAAAGACAGAAACTTCGAACTGCTTGTTTGATCAAAACCAGAATTCTGGGGGCACCTAGGTGGCTCAGTGGGTTAAAGCCTCTGCCTTCAGCTCAGGTCATGATCCCAGGGTCCTGGGATCGAGCCCCAAGTCAGGCTCTCTTGCTCTGCAGGGAGCCTGCTTCCTTCTCCTCCTCCTCCTCCTCCTCCTCCTCCTTCTTCTCTCTCTCTCTCTCTCTCTCTCTGCCTGCCTCTCTGCCTACTTGTGATCTCTGTCAAATAAAAAAATAAATAAAATCTTAAAAAAAAAAAAAAACAGAATTCTGGTGTTCTCTCTCTCTGTGTTGCTAACTATAAATCTTCTTTGAGTCTGATCTTTGTTTTCATTTTGTCCCTGTCTTCAGAAGTCTGGTTCTTATGGAGGTTGAGTTTTGGGGTTAAGATCTAGGCTTGGCATCCAAACTATAATCCTTGCTCCTATCATTCCAGGAATTGCCTGGATCAGATCTTGACTCTGTTGGCTGTTTATCTTAATCCTGTCAAGATCGATCTTCTGGAATTATTAGAAAATCTACAGAACTAGCCTTGCTTTGAACTACTTTCCTAGTTGTCCTAAGGGGCTAAAATGGATCATTTGGGTTTCCCTTGGACTTCAGCACACTAATTTAGTTCATTCCAATTTGAACCTCATGATACACTTGAAGCTGACGTGCTGGCCTCTGCCATGGTCATTTGGATGTGGATCCAAATCTCTGATTTGATCTTTAACAAATACTGTTAAGCATCTACAGTGGGCCATACTCCATTCTAACTAAGCATTGGGCCTATAGCAATGAACAAAACAAAATCTTTCTTGTCTTGGTGCTGACATGCTTTTTTCTGTCTCCTGCTCAGGACAGATGAGTTTCAAACTCTCAAAGTCAAAGACAAGAGGCCCCGAGGAGGGTTTGTCCAAGGTTCTGCCCCTGGATCACTCCTGGCTAGTGTCTAAAGTGCCCCCTTATCACCACCAGGCCCCACTGGGGACTCTTGAGAAGAAGTCTTGGAGCTTCACCAGTGCCAAGCCCAATTCTAATAACGATAATGACAACTCACTTTTACTGAGGGCTTTACTCTGCTTTAATCTGTATTTTTCCTTCCTTTTGCTAGCTTTGGGTTTTGTTTGCTCTTCTCTTTCCCATTCCTTCGGGTGAAGGGTTAGGTTTTTAGGTAATTGGTTTGAGATCTTTCTCCCTGCCAGCCAGGGGGTGCCCTTCATAGATGCATATCATGCAAACCTTGCGACGATTCTTTGAAACACCTGCTCTTTCCAGATGGGGAAGATCAGGTCTGAGAGATGACATGACTGGCCCTAATTTCCCCGCTGGCCTAGCAAGTGTCTGAAAGGTCTGCTTGCCTGTGAAGCCCATGTTCTTAAGCCCTGCACACTCCTGTCTCCTGACTGTAAGAGCCAGGAAGGGGGGGGATGTCCCATACTCAAGGACTTTAAAGGCAACAACCAGAAGAGAGGGTGTGCCTCCTTCCTTAAGAAGGGCTGCAGAGGGAGCGTCAGTTCTGTGAGCAGTAAGAAGACTGCTTTGCAACCTTTGCAGTCTCTTAAATTACTCAATTCAATTTGATTCCACAAGAAGGTGTTCACAACCTGCCAGTACTTCTTATCTATTTGTTCTCAAACAAAAAGAACATGCAACGTCTCGGAGGGTCATCTAGGCACCCACATTCCTAACACTTCAGATAAAACAGCAGGTGAAAATCTGGTAGGGAATAAAACACAGCTCAGCCTTGGTATTTCTAACAGAATGATATGCTGGAATTTCCTCTCCCACAATCTTCCAGCTGCTCAGAAAGTCACATAATCCATTATGGATCCTGCCCCTTCGAGAACCCCAGACATTGGCCATTTCCATACTTGCTCAGTGTCTGTGCGGCACTGGGATGGGGGGGCGGTCAGGACTCTCGACTTGATGCTATCAACCACCATATCATTTAGGGTTGTGACCTTGGCACTTAAGGGAAGTCTCCCATGCAAAGGTCGATCTGGCGGTGGCTGGCTTGGGTTCCATTGACACCCTACCCTGTCTTCAGCCCTGTTTCTCAGAAGAGGGACTATGGAAAAGGCCAAAGATGTGAGAACTGGGCCCAAACCAGCCATTTAAGAAAACTTGTCTTTGGGCTGTTGTGACTTTCCTTAGCCCCCTCTTCGTTGTGAGAGGAAATGTGCCCAGAATCTTTACCTTTAATCTTCATCCCCCCACTTACCCCCAAATCATCTTTCTAGAGCAATGGCATGTCTCTGCTATGAGAGTCTCTCTGTGGCTGGGACTAAGAGAAGAGGGTAAGCAGGAGGCTTCCAGGACACAGGCTTTCCCTTTCTGCAGGCGAGAAATAACCCTCTAGCATTTGGTCATGTGGCAAGGGAGTGTCGCTATGGAGACAAGCAAAAGCTGGTCCTCATGTTCAAAACCAAGGACTGGAAGTGACTTTTCCTGTTGTAGTGCGAGAGGACCACAGTCTGCTGACCTAGGGGCTGCCTTATAGCCATAAGATCGGTCCCATTGGTGACCATCTCAGCATTTGCTTGTTGACCCTCCATGGATAATGTAGCCCGTGGAACTTTCACATGCAGTATAGACCAGAGTGAGAGATAGGGGGTCTTACAGACATGTCACGAATAAGCCCCAGTTACCTTTTGCCAAATGCAAACTAATCAGCTCCTCAATGGAAAAGGGTCTCCCCCGCTTGTGTGGCCTTCTCAGTTACTCAGGGATATCTGGGTATCATCCTGCCCACAAGCTGAGAGAAGGAGGAAGGGAGCTGCTTAGGGTTTTCTCCCTGGCAATGCTTCCTGCTCCCTGCTGCGAGATTTCTAGATTAGAGCTCCATAAGGGTCTGAGCAATGGTTAGGGTTATCCAGAGGTGAGACAGTTCTAAGCATAGACCCTTCTCCCTGTTGAGGCAGGCACAAAGAAATGGAATATCTTAAAGCCTGGGATATTGGGAAGACTGGGTTTTGAGGTCAACACATCTGGGTCAGATTTCCAGGTCTACCATTTACTCTGGGGAAGATTGAGCAATTTCTTTAACCTCTCTGAGTTTTTTTCTATCCTCACAAGCAACAGTCTGAGGTATATATTAATATTATACCCACTGTTGGTGGGGAAAGGAAGGCTCAGAGAGGTTAAGCAACCAGCCCAAGATCACAGAGCCAGTAAGTAGCAGAGCGAGGATTCAAGCATAGGTCTGTCCCACTCGGCTGTCATACTTGGCACAATTCCACTCTATTACCTCAGCGACCTTGGAGCCCCCAATCCAGATTCCACTTCTGGGCACATATCGTGGCACAGCTCCAAACATAAGTCCAGAAACACCTCCATGCACATCACTAGTCCCAGATCTAGGCAGAGTTCTGGAAGCTTGAGATCTCTGTAGAAGAACGAAAGAACATGGTGGTTGGAATGCTTGCACATTAACCAACAGTGGGATGTCACCATCCTAAAACTTAGCTCATTCTTGGGGCATGTCTAGTGAATATGGTAATGCCAGCTAATGCCTTGTGCTGGGCCCTAGGTCAACACATTGTGTATTTCTACATTCTCCCTTCTTTATGGTAGCCCTGTAGGGTAGAATCAGCTGGGGAGCAAGGCCAAATTCCCCACTCTTTGTTTTTTGGCAGTTGGGATGGGGGGTGGGGAGGATGAAAGAGGAGGGGTCTAATCAGGCACTGATGCTTGAGTTCATGGTTACCTGTCGAGGTCTGCCTCTCTGGCGCTCTGGAGAGGGGCAGATTCTATGCACTGATATTTCAGGCTCAGGATCCAACATGAAGATGCTGTCATGGGACAGGGCTTTGCTGCCCATGCTGCTCTTGGCCCTGAACAGGAAGGAAAAAGGTCTCATAAGAGCAGCCCAAGGGCCGTAGGAACTGAAGACACGGGTATACCCATAGCATGACATACCAGACACCTCAGAAAGGAGGAAAGGAGGCACATGGGCTGACAGAGGTTTTCCATGAGATATTAAGTGAAAAAATAAGGACTAGTATGGTCTCATTTAATATATATAACCAAGGGCACCTGGGTGGTTCAGTCAGTTAAGCATCTGCCTTTGGCTCAGGCATGGTCCTGGGGTCCTGGGATCCAGCCCCGCATCGGGCTCCCTGCTCAGCGGGGAGTCTACTTCTCCCTCTGTCCCTCCCCCCACTTGTGTGTGCTCTCTCTATCTCGCTCAAATAAACAAATAATTAAATAAATTATATATATATGTGTATATATATTATATATATAATATATGTGTGTGCACATATATGTATATTACATACATATGTAGTTTATGTTCATAGATAGCCACCAAATAATTAGTGGCAGTTCCCTCTGGGGAATGGCACTAGGGGCAGGGGGAGGAACCTTAATTTCCTACTTTATGTAATTCTGTATAATTTTGATTTTTTAAATTATCAACACATAGCTTCTTTATATAATAGTTTTGAGTTATGGTTTACATACCATACAATTCACTCATTTCAAGTGTACAATAGTGACAACAGGAATGGAATGGAAGTGGAATGGGAGGGAAGACCCTAAGTCTTTCTGTTATTAAGGTAAGAGTCATAAAATATCTTTCACACCCAAATTTCTCTCTAGTGGTTTTGTTTTTATTTAAAATACCAAACATCTGCCCAGATACTGGAGACTCTCATTCACTAGATACTTTCCTCTTTCGCACAAGGGTTCTGTCTCATTTTCAAAGCCATCTTAGGCACCCATCCCCCCAACCCCCCCACCCCAGCTTGCTAAACCCAGAAGGAAATACCTTCTGACTGGGAATTAAGCCAGGTTGATGACAGTTAAGTGCTAAGGCAAATCAGGGAAAAGTTAGAAACAAATGAAAAGCTGAAGGCACGAAAGACTCCTTTAGGAATGTGGGAATGTATTTTACCTGTTAAAAATTTCAACCAAAAGACATCTCAAGAAAAGGAAACTACAGACTAATACTTCTTACGAAATAGATGTAAGAATCTTCAATAAAATACTAATAATCTGAATCCAGCAACATAAAGAATTATACACTATTAACCAAGCAGAACTTGCAAGAAATGTAATGTTATCTTAATATGTAAAAATCAACGCAATACACTATATCAACAGAATAAAAACGAAAACCATGTAGTGATTTCAATAGATACAGAAAAAGCATCTGTAAAATCCAAATACATAATAAACACACTTATGATAAATACACTCAACCTTGACAGAGGACATCTGTGAGAAACTCTCAGTTAATGTCATGCTTAATGATGAAACACTGAATGTTTTCTCCCTCAGAGCAGGAAGAAAGAAGACGAGGTGTCTGCTGTTGCCACTTCAATTCAACACTGGGGGTTCTAGCCAGGGCAATTAGGTAAGAAAATTAAATAAAAGGCATCCATATTGGACAGGAAGAAGTGAAATTATCTCCAATCATAGATGACACAATCTTGTGTATAAAACTCCTAAGAAATCCAATAAAAACTACTAGAACTAAAAAATGAGTTCAGCAAAGTTGGAGGATAAAAAACCAATATACAACAATTGATTGTCTTTCTATATGCTGGCAATGAAGAACCTGGAAATGAAATTACAAAAACACTTCCAATTTTCAACCTTTACAAATAACATCAAGAAGAATAAAATGCTTAGGAACAAATTTAATGAAAAGTGTGTAAAAATTATACTCTGAGCACTCTAAAACACTCATGAAAGAAAATTAAAGAAGAAAACCTAAGTAAACGAAAAAGCAACCTATGCTCAAGGCTCGAAAGACTCAATCTTGTCAAGATGGCAACAGTCCACAAACTGATCTACAGATTTAATGCGATTATTATTAAAATTCCAGCTGCCTTTTTAATTTTCTTTGGCAGAAGTGGACCAGGATGATCTTTAAATTCATAGTGAAATGCAAGGGGCTACAAACTGATAAAACAATCTTGAAGAAGAAGAACAAAGTTGGAAAACTCACACTTGCCAATTTCAAAACTTAATACAAAGCTGCCATAATCAAGACAGTGTGGTACTGACATGAGGATAGATATATAGATGAATGGAATAGAACTAAGAGTCCAGAAATCAACTCATTCATCTATGGTTAATTGATTTGCAAAAAGGGTGCCAAGACTGTTCAATGGGGAAAGAAGAGTTTTTTCAACAAATGTTGCTGAGAAAACTGGATATATACATATAGGAGGGAGAAGTTAGATCCTATCTCATACCGTATATAAACACAAACTCAAGATGGATCAAAGACTTAAATAAAAGAGTTAAAACTCTGAGAAGAAAATATTGGGGGGGGGTATATCTTCCTGACCTGAATTTGGCAATGGATTCTTAGACTATGACTCCAAAAGCTTAAGCAATTGAAGAAAAAAACAAATAAATGGATTCGATCAGAATTAAGCTTTGAAGGATACTAGCAAGAAAGTGAAAGGACAACACACATAAAGGGGGGGGATCTTTTCAGATTGTATATCTTTTTAAAAAGATTATTTATTTATGTATTTCAGAGAGAGAGAGAGAGAGAGTGAGTGAGAGAGAGAGAACACGAATAGAGGGAGGAGGGGCAGAGGGAAAGGGAGGAGCAGACTCCCCCCTCCAATCAGGAAGCCCAATGTGGGACCCAATCCCAGGACCCTGGGATCATGACCTGAGCTGAAGGCAGATGCTTAACTGACTGAGCCACCCAGGAGACCTTGCAGATTATTTATTTGATAAAGGATTCATATTTAGAATACACGAGGAACTCTTACAATTCAATAATAAAAAAGATAAATGACCTAATTTTTTAAATGGGTGAAGGATCTCAATAGATATTTCTCTAGAGAAGATATACAGATAGCCAACAAGCATATGAAAAGATGATCGACCATTCATTAGCCAATCAGGAAATATAAATCCAAAACATAATGAGATGCTCCTTTAGACCCATCAGAATGGCTAGAAACAAAAACTCAGTAACAAGTGTTGGCAAGGTTGGGGAGAAACGGGAACCCCCATGCACTACTGGTGGAAATGTAAAATGGGGCAGGCATTTAGAAAAACCATTTAATGGTTCTTCAAAAACTTAAACCTTTAATTACCATATGACCCAATACACTCCTAGGTGTATACCCAAGAGAAATAAAAACATATATCCATCCAAAAACTTGTACACAGATGTTCATAGCAGCATTCTCCATAATAGCCAAAGGATAGAAACACCTAAGTATCTATCATCTGATGAACAGATAAAACGTGGTGTATTCATACTCTGGAATACTATTCAGCAGTATGAAGAAATTATCTATTGGACTCATGCTACCACCTGGATGACCTTGGAAAACAAAAACATGCTTAGGGAAACAAGCCAGTCACAAAAGACCACATACTGTATGATACCATTTATAGGAAGTATCCAGAATAAACAAATTGAGAGAGACAGAAACTAGATAAGTGATCACCTTGGGCTGAAATGGGGATAGGGAAGAATGGAGGCTGACTGCTAATGGGTCCACGATTTCTTTTATGGAGGGGTGGAAATGTTTTTAAATTAGATAAAATAATTGTTTGAAATTTCATATACTTTTTTGGTACGTATTACCTTCATTATGAAACATTTACTGTAATACATATAGGTTAGTGCTTTAGAAAATAATCTTTTTTTTCTCCCCTAAGTAAGGCTCCATGCCCAACATGGCGCTTGAACTCATGACCCTGGGATCAAGGGTTGTGTGCTCTACTGAGCCAGCCAGGAGCCCCTAAAAAATAATCTCTTTTTTTTTTTTTTTTGAGAGAGAGAGCAAGAATGAGTGGCAGGGCAGGGGGCAGAGGGAGAGAGAGAATCTTAAGCAGGCTCCATGCCCAGTGTGGAGCCTGTCCCAGGGCTCAATCTCACGACCCTGAGATCATGACCTGAGCTGAAATCAAGAGTCCAACATTCAACCGACCGAGGCACCCAGGTGCCCCCCTAAAAAACAATCTGTAAATGGTACCCAAAGTAGCAGCTCGGGCTCTGTAGGACCAGTACCCACCCCATCATCGTGAGCCCGTCTGACTGTGGAACGTGCGCATGGCTAGATCTGATCACAACACACTCTGAGGACAATCTGGTGTTATGGGGATTAAAATGGCACCCATACTACGGTGGCTTGTAGGTCCACAAGAAGAGAGGAGGCAGATGCCTTTGTATTACCCACTTTTTCCCTGTAAAACTCTGCTACCCAGGTGGCTCTGGTGGTGAGGGCAACATGCTCTGTCTTATCAAAATGGCAATCCTGCAGAAAATTCACAGGACTCTTACTAAATGCTTAATGATGACACAAGACTGATGCGGCATTGAGAGAGCAATGTTCCCAGACCCTCTCTAGACACACTTTCCCTCATTTTGCACACAGAGATGCTGTCATTCACTGTTGCTCTATGACCTGTCAGCTCAAATCAGGCCTGGGACCAGTATCGTAGTCCCACAGATGTCCCAGCCTTAGGACCATCTGTGACTACCTGGCCTCCCCTGCTTTGGGCAGAAAATCTGCAAGGAAATCTTGGGCCATGGGTGGGCTTAGAAACCGTCATTTCCAGCCAGAGTGCGGCTGCTGAAGTGGCTCTGTAGAGCTAGACCCTCCCTGAACCAAGGATTCCTGTAGCTCTGGCTGTGGCCATGTTTGTCAGAAACGGAATCGCCCACCCGCTGAACCTATCTAACACCTACCAATTGGCTTCCTGGGGGGCAAGAGGAAGAAAATGCATCCAAAACTCCAAACAAAACCTTGGCCTTAATTAAAGGCAATAAAGTGCATTATGTCAGCACCCATTCAAAAAAAAAAAAAATCAAGGGCACCTGGGTGGCTCAGTTGGTTAAGCGATTGCCTTCGGCTCAGGTCATGATCCTGGAGTCCAGGGACGGAGTCCCACATTGGGCTCCCAGCTCCGTGGGGAGTCTGCTTCTCCCTTTGACCTTCTCCCCTCTCATCCTGTCTCTCACTCTCTCTCTTTCTCAAATAAATAAATAAAATCTTTTTAAAAATATCAAAATGGCAGCATGAGATCTCTCTACTTTATCAGATAGGGCTTAATACAGACTTAGAAATGGATACTGGTCCTATTGTATAGGCGAGGGGAGGGCTGGCTTTACGTTTTGTCAGCTTCCACGGATAGAGGCTGATTTTTCTTCCCAACTGCTGAGTGACATTCTCCAGGGTTTTCCCCCTAACATGTGAAGCAAGTGACTGGGGTCAGGGGTGAATGTCAGAACTCCTACATTATACTCTTAATTAATTTATGCTCCTTGCCCTCTCCCCCCTCAAAAAAAGACCTATTTCAGACACTTAGAAAAACACTCTTCCTCATGTATAAATTATTTCACACGCTTCCATTCACCCCCTCCTCTCCTTCTTCCTGTCCCCCCACTCCCTCCTGTCCTCCCCACAACCTGCAAGCTCTGCGTGCACCTGCCTTCTTAGTGTGGAGAATGCATCAGAACCAATTGGCCACTTTGGAGGCACAGGGACAAGTAGGAAGGGGGAAACCCAAAACTTTAGTGGATATGGCCCTTGCCAATTCGTACAGACAACGCAGAGTAGACCCAAACTCCCCTCTACCCTCCTCCCTGCTCTGGTCTATATCATGGCATGATTTGTGAGGTATGATACAAGCCTCTCTGTCCCAAACCATCCCCCCACCGGCAAAGCTATCTGAAATTCCTCACAGCCAACCCACTTATGAAGGACCTCCTGAAGGAGGCCAAGGCGCTGTCAGGTTTGCTGACTGTCCCATTTCCAGCAGCACATGTGAGCTCGGTGGGCAGCACAGATAAGTCTGGAATGTTCAGGCCAGGCGAACAGGCCAAAGGGGAACTGCACAGAGGGGGAATCTGATGCAACCAGGAACACCCGGGGGTACTGGATGGCCAGATACGGAAATGGGGGCATCACAGATGAAAAGTGGGACAGGGGTGGCCGAGAAACGGTCTTCCCCATTCTGGGACCAGTTAGAGCATCTTCCTCTCCCCACCCCCACCCCCACAATCCGCCTGTCTCCTGGGATGTTGCCTGATCCTTTCTTTGTTTGTTTTTACAGTAACACAAGTGATTTCAGGCTAGACTGGCTTCAGCATCTGAGATCTGAATCCCACATTAGGAGAAGGAATTGCAGATCTATAGTCTGAGGGCCGGGCAGGCAAACCAGGCCTGGCTGCCTATTATAGGAGGCAGGCTGCCTTTATTGTAATGAATGGAGGGAGGCCTCCAGCTCCTCGCTAGGGAGACACCTTGCGGGTCAAGTTCCTTCAGCTCTGACACAGGAGGGCCACCTTGGTCTGTCTGTAGCCAGTGCTCTCGGGGTCAAGGTCCTGCAGCTGCCCACCTACTGAGCCGCATACCCCAACAATAAGCATTGGCGTGAGCATGGAGAAAGGCCCCCAGGCCCCGGCCACCCCGGGCAGTGCCTGCCACCCACTGGCCCTTACCTGGTCTTGGCGCGCTGACCTTCCCAAACCGGCTTCAGAGAAGAGATGTTAATACTGCCGCTGGACAAGCTTGGCTTTAGCCTCCTCCCTCCCCGGGCACCTTCTGGCTCTTTCTTCTTCTTCTTGCCAAAAAAGTTCTTGAAGGCTTTGAATTTGGATTTCTTCTTTACTGGAAGTTAAGGAACAAAAGCGAGGCAGAGTGTGACAGTAGAAGGGAAGATGGGGAGGAAATGGGGCCTTTGGGACAGGAACAAGGACCGTGATCCCAGCTGGCCTGCAGACTTGGTTCTCGTTCCCCCCACCCCGCCCTGCCCCGTCCCCTTCCCTGGGCCCACAACACCGTGACACCATGCGTGTGGCCTGCTCCCTTTTTTATAATTCCATAGGACCAAGTGTCTGAGTTTCTGGGGGAGATTTCCTGACCCAAGAAATTCACTCATCTACAGTAATGACTGAGCCCACCTAAGCAGAGGTCATCCCCCTGATTTCACATGAGCTTCTACATGCAAGAAAGCCCCTCGGGACCCCTGGAGTTGCAGGTGGGATCTGGGACTGGTCAGATTTGTGTGCTGAAAGGATGCAGATCTACGGGGTAAGGGCAGTCTGGGCGGTGCAGGCAGGGAGGGGATTTGGGAGCAAGGGAGAGGGCTTGGAATTGGGAAGAAAGGGCCATGGGGCAAAGAAGCTGCCTGTGCAAAAGGCATGACAGAATCAGATACCAAAGTGTTTTGCAAAGAGTGCGTGCGTGCATGCGTGAGTGACTGTGTGCGTGTGTGAGTGCATGTGTGTCTGCATGGGTGCGTGCATGCATGCGCCATGTGCGCTGTGTGTGTTCTTTCATTATTGCTGTTTTGTCTGGGTTAGCTACCACCCTCTGCACCTGCAAATAATTGCAAGTTTGCTCCATCTGCGTAAACCACCAGGGCCGAAGTGAGGCATGGGAGCTCTAAATGTTCCTAAGGGGGGCACCTGGGTGGCTCAGTGGGTTAAAGCCTCTGCCTTCGGCTCGGGTCATGATCCCAGGGTCCTGGGATCGAGCCCCGTATCGGGCTCTCTGCTCAGTGGGGAGCCTGCTTCCTCCTCTCTTTCTCTCTCTGCCTGCCTCTCCGCCTACTTGTGATCTCTCTCTCTCTGTCAAATAAATAAAAAATCCTAAAAAAAATTTAAATGTTCCTAAGGCTCTGTTAGGGCATTTCTTAGTTTCCTAACAGGCACATGTGTCTTTAGTGGGGCTCAGCAGAAGAGGGGTGAGGAGAGGGGAGCGCGTATTGCATTCTTCTGATGGAAGAAGTCAGCTCTGACTGCTTTCACATGCAATAATTTACCAGCGTAGGTGTCTCGTCCAAATTCCCAACAGTCTGGTCTCTAAAGGCCTCTTGCCAACACAGCAATGCTGCACTGGCAGGCCAACGGCCCAGGCAAGGGAGTTGCCAATGGGGCAGCCATTACAAAGGCTTAGTGGTGTAACAGAGAGTACCACCCAAGAGTCAGAACAGTGTGGAATCCTCGACTTGGCTCTACGAACAATTAGCTCGGTGACTTTGGGTAAGTCATTCAACCTCCTGGAAGGAAGCAGGTCAATGAAGGGATCACACAAATCAACATCTCCCAAAGTGTGTTCAGAGGGCTATCATTGGTCTATTGAATGAGAAAGGGATCTGCAGGCCAGTCATTCTGAAAAATGCTGGATTAAGCAAAGTTTAGGTCTCTGCTTTCCAATAAGACTTTTCTGGAACTTCAATATGCCTGTGTGAACAGTAATGCTCTAAGATACTGGGCATCCATGTTGTCTCCCAAAATCATGTCAGCAAAATATCTGGCAAAACACACTTTGGGTAATGCTGAACTAGGGTTCCTTCTAGCTTGGAATCCTATGGCCTATGAGAAAGGTTTCTACACTTCAAGGCCTACCTTCAGTCCAATGTCCACCAATCACATCCATCTATCCATCCATCTATCCATCCATCCATCCATCCATCCATCCACCAGTCCATGAATCCATCCATACATCCATCCATATATCCACCCACCAATCCTTCCATCTATTCATCCATCCATCCACCCACCAATCCATCTATCCATCCATCCATCCACCCACCAATCCATCATCTATCCATCCATCCATCCACCAGTCCATCTATCCATCCATCCATCCACCCATCCATCCACCAATCCATCCATCTATCCATGCATCCATCCATCCATCCATCCAGCCAGCCATTCATTCACTACTCCATCCATCCATTCACCATCCCATCCATCCATCCATCCACACACCAATCCATCCATCCATCCATCCACCAATCTATCATCCATCCTTCCATCCATCCATCCATTCACCATCCCATCCATCCATCCATCCACACACCAATCCATCCATCCATCCATCCATCCACCAATCTATCCATCCATCCTTCCATCCATCCATCCATTCACCATCCCATCCATCCATCCATCCACCCACCAATCCATCTATCCATCCATCTATCTATCCATCCATCCACCAATCCAACCATCCATCCATTTATCTACCCACCAATCCATCCACCAATCCTTCCATCCAACAAATATTTAAGACCAAGCACTTACTATGCTTTGGGTATCAATGAGGAAGGAATAAGATACAGTTCCGTGTCTTAGCTACTGTCCCTCACATCAAGGCTGTAGGCAGGCCCTTCTTCACATCCCCTTCAGCAACCAGCACCATGAAAGGCATACACCCAAGGGACATCTGTCACTTCCCTTAAATTGAGGTCACCAAGCAGAGTCATCCTTAAGCATCCAATAATTTAAACACTGGCCCTTGTCAGGGTTCATATAAGTTGGAAAAAGCGTAGGTAAAGAGCTTAGCATAGGATCTGGCATGGTGCAAGTGCAAGTAACTGTGAGTTAGTACGAGGGAATCAATAATTACTCATTTCTTTAAAAAATTGTTTGTTTGTTTGTTTGTTTTCACATAAACTCAAAGCCCAATATGGGGCTTGAACTCACAGCCCTGAGATCAACACGTTGCATACTCTATCCACAGAGTCGACCAGGTGCCCCAATAATTACTTGTTTATTAAGACCAGAATCAATTATATCTGGACAATTGGTCTATCAGTTCTATTTATCTATAGATAAGGAGAAGCAGCCCCATATCTATCAATCAATAGTGATCTGTACAGTATAATGATTAGAAGCAGAAGCTGGTGTGGGGTGGGGCAATACAAGAAGACAGAGGACTGTGTGCTTGATAATCTCTGCTTAAGTAATTCCTGTTTGGGATGGGTTGGGCCATTTCTCATCTACCAGGATGTATCTAAATAGGGTCACGATGGGGACCAATTTGGCAATTCTACCTGCGGATAGAAAGATTAAAACACGAAGACACTGAAGGAAACATATTTTTTTCAAGTTTCCTTCTGTAATTTTTTTTTCAGGAAAAATTCAACTGATTTCTATAATGATAAATTATTTAGAAAGATGCTGGGGGTGGCTCAGAAATGATTGAGAGTTACTCTACTGTACAGATTGCTACAATCGAGTCTTTGCTGGAAAAGATTTATCAACTGGATATCTTGGGGGAAATGCCCTTATCTGCAATATTTGCCTATTTCTCTGGTGTAAAAGTCCCTGCCAGTTTTCACCCAGAACCAATAAGATTTATTGATTCTTGACGGGTGGTCTCCTTCCGGTTTTCTAAAAGAGGAACAACTTTATGCTCAGAGTGTTTAGAAACATATTGGTTGTTGCCCCTCTTGCTTCAAAATCCCCAACTAGATGGGAGGAGGGCAAACCTGCTTTTCACAAACCAGCAAAGGCAGAGAGGAGAGCATCAGCGGCTAGTAGCTGCACTTATGATGCAATCTACAAACATTTAATAACTGAATAAAAACACCTCTAATAAACATTCGGTCTCTAAAACTGAATGTACCAAGCATAATCATTGTATGGGCAGACAGAATTAGGCACCAACACCTTTTTATGTCCCTAAATCAGCAAAATGGCTAGTGACTTTAGAACTCTACCAGGGACTAGCATTAATGATGCATGTATTTCAATTTCCGTCCCCCTCTCCTCAGTTTTCTATTTTTGCTGACCAAAACCAACCTATTTTCCCATGAGGATCCAAAATACCTAAGTACTGTGTATCTCTTTCAACCGTGGGCATTAGAAGGAAAACAATGTTTCCATTCGTCCCTGTGGGATAGCTCTGAGTACTGGGACTGAATCAGGTTGGGGGGACGGGGTGGGGGGTAAGAGCTTTGTTGGCAGAGATGGTTCTGGCTTGGGAGACTCTGGAGCCCCATCCACATCAGACCCCATGTGTGGAGATGGGCCCTGAGAAGTAGCTACCAGTCCAGGAACGGTCCACACGTTATGTTTCCTGAAACCCCACTGAACTCTGAGACAGTTGCCCTATATTGGAGAGTATGAATTGCCTTTCAAGCTCTCTTTTGCAAAACGGGCGTCTTTAAATCGTCAGCAGCTGAGCCCCGCCCAGGCTGGTTTTCAAAAGCTGCTGTAGTCCAAAAGGCTAGATAGACTTAAGCAGCAGGTAGACATAGAGGTCGCAGCCCACATTTGTATCCAGCAATGTTTATGTAGGTCACCTCCACACTGGGGAACTTGTGCCCTCTTCCCCCGGCCCCCAGGCACCGCAGTAGTGGGCAGTGAGGTGCCCACTGCCAGCTTCTGGAATTTTCCTATAACAAAGCCACTGAATTCCCTGTCCAAGTCCAAAGACTACTTATTCCCAAACAGGCAGGAGCTCTCAACATCCTCATCCAATGAGGACAATGTATCACATGCCACAACAAAACACAGTTAACTCCAATGAAGAAATCATCATTGCTGGGTCGTATATTTGCTTATCCACCGTACACACAGGCAGACCACCTGGATTTAACTTGATAGGCTTTAAAAATGCATTGTGTGACAGTGACTTTGTTCTCTTGCATCGCTGCTTAGAAAGAAAACATTTCTAACTGGCCTTTCTCTCCATCAACCTCCAAATAGCCATAATATCCTCTGGCCAGCAACAACTAGCTCTAAAAACATACCCAACTATCTGGGCTTTTAAACAACAAAATCTTGCAAACAGAGAAAACGCATTGCCTTACCTTCACTCTTCATCAAGACGTACTGCATTGCCACCTTCTTTTGTAGCCATCTGTCTAGCTCATATCCAAAACAATAGGTCAGTTGGTTTGGTAGGGGGCTGCCTTGGTGAAGAGGCCCATCATTTTTTTTTAAATCCATTTATTGATTGAATATTTGTGATATCTAAGGTCCCTCTCTCTCTGAGACCCAGTACTAAACAATGGTTGACACGGAAACGAAGACCCAGGCCCTGCCCTCAAGGATCCATGCCCCAGGTTCAACATCCACCCCCCCACATCAGCTCCACATCAGCAGTAAAATCTAGGCTCTAGGAAGCCACAAGAAGGTTCCATTTTGTTCTTCCAAATCAAGTCTTCCACATCATGCTCTACTTCAATAAAAATTGAAAACAGGGCGGCTGGGTGGCTCAGTGGGTTAAGCCTCTGCCTTCGGCTCATGTCATGATCTCAGGGTCCTGGGATCGAGTTCCGTATCGGGCTCTTTGCTTGGCAGGGAGCCTGCTTCCTCCTCTCTCTCTGCCTGCCTCTCTGCCTACTTGTCATCTCTCTCTGTCAAATAAATAAATAAAATCTTTAAAAAAAAATTGAAAACAACCCCACGAACTGTTGCGTTTAGTCCTGTCTTTAAATTCAAATTAAAGTCTTATTTTATGCCTGATGGTTCCTTTGCAGTGGTGGGGATGAGGGATGTCAATGAGGTTTATCATTGTCTAGTGACTTTTGCCTCACTGAACTGATATTCACTCACAGTCACATATCAGTCCTAAGTGGCCCCACAATTTAGGGAATGGGCACACGTCTGAGTAAATTTTACAAAAAGAAGTTTTGTAAATTGAGTCCCACTTAACAGAGGCCTACGGTGACATCTTTTGTTTGTATTCCCTCTTTATTCTTCAAACCACAAATTTGTTGGTTAAATCTGGATTATATCTACAGTAAAACCTCAGTTGAATCTCTCAGATCATGGTTCTGCTCCAATTTTTTTTTGCTGATTAAACAGAAATACTTTTCCTGCCTTAGTAAGTAGAAACTGGTAACCATCCCCAAAGTAGATTACAGGGCTTCAGACAAACCTTGTGACATCAGAGATGGATCCCCCAAAAAAGAGACCAAAAAAATTGCAAAGTAAATGCAGACTGAGTCTAATATTATTAGAAATTTGATAGGAACTTGCTTGCTTGTGACTTCATTTTTTTCCTAGGGGTTAAACACAGTAAACAAATCAAGTTCTAGTTGGCAAGATTCCACTGGGCTACTTACCCTCATCGTTGGCCTCCAGAACTTCCAGACTTCCAGAAACCTCACTAAGGGATTCAGCCATAGTAGGATCACTAAAGGAAAATATTGAGTGAAAAAGCAAAAGATCATCACTTGATATCCTGGGCATAACACACTCATTTTACCTCACTCCTTATCCTTCCATTAGATTCTTAAACCATTCAAGGAAAACCAGACAAAAAGAATTGCCATGAGAGAGAATTACCCTTCTTTAAAAAAAAGATCATGACTTCATGTATATGAAATGTCTAGAACAGGCAAATACACAGACATATACATGCAAGAATTCATCACTGCATCATTTTAAATAGCCAAAAATTGGAAGCCATCCAAGTGACCATCAAAAGGCTAATTCTCCCATGACTATGATTCTACGTCATGGGAGAATCACCCGTCTCCACCAGTACAGATAATCGATTGAGCATCAACTGTAAATTTTCCCTTCAATCTAACCTTTTAAGCAAAAGCTTGGGGTGGCTGACAGGTCTAGGGAAACCTGTCTGTGGATAACCAGATCATTAAAAATCAATATTGAAATTTTTTATGGGAGTTTATGTGGATTGGGGAGGGGGAATCTGAGCAGCACCCTAGCCCAGACAAAGGATGCTATATTCATGGGAAGCTGTAGAGAGGCGGGCAGAGTCCGGCCTCATAAGAAATCCCCCAAGGATCTTGATCTGACTAGCTGAAGGACCATCAAGTGGGGGTTAGGTAGTTTCTGGAGCCCCTTCCCCACCCCTGATCTGCTCAGCCCCCAGACATAGTCAAACTGCCATTGCTGTCTCATGGATGGATTCCAGGTGGGTCCTGTCCTGCCCCCAGCCACATGCGCCCCCACCCCCCACCCATACATCACCGGAAGTAGAGAGGGATGCCCGTGGGCTCTGAGGTTAAGCCAACTTGAGAGGTCACCAGCAAGAGTGACTGAGGTCTTGGAAAGCGAATGCTTCCAAACCACGGTGAGGGCTGACAGGGCCCTGCTGTCAAGATGGCTACAGACCCTCTCACTTTGAAATCCTGTGATTTCCCAGGGTGTGTGTTCTTTCTTACCGTGGTGAGTAATAAACCCAACTCGTTCGATGACAGGTGTGTCTCGGCCGGCCTTGGCTGAAAAGTATTGATACTATGTTCAAGTCACTCAAACTCTATGAACCAATATCACAGTTCTGCCTGCAGATGACTTAATCCCAAGCCCATACAACGCTCACAAATTCTCTCTCTCTCTCTCTCACACACACACACACACACACACGCGCACACACACATTCCACCTGGAGATTTGGGAGGAGCAAAGGGATGAAGAAATTCAGAATTGCCTCAGAAATTCCAAGGGAGGACTGGAGAATTCCTTGGGCCAGCGGCAATTCACATCATGGGTGAGTTCCTGGGCCAGTTTAAAAACATACCAGCATCCCCCCCGCCCAAAACTAAAGAAGGCTTTTTAGACACTGGGGAAATAAACTCTTTCTGAGCTTTGGAGAAGTCCATAGTAAAGGAGCATGCTTTCCAAATTACCAGGCCGTGGCCTGGTTATTGTCCTTAACCCAACACTGGTGGGGGCAGAAGACAGCGAAAGAAGACAGCGAAGCAACAACCAAAGAGAAAAGTATAGAAGCCAAGAGGGAGAACAAAGAAAGAGGACATCTTGGCAGTATCCGAATCCCTTAGAGCACTTAATAGAATTTCTCGATTTGACTAACCCTCAAGGGTAGACCGTCTCCCATCCTTCCTGGCACCCTTGCCTCACCCTCTAAAGTGAATCCCAAGGGCCCTGTAGACACCACCACCATCAGCTGAACTGTCTCCCTGTCTCAACCACGCAACCAACCAACAAACCACCACAGCGAAACACACATGCCTCCCCTTGATTTGCAATTCTCTTCCCATTACCACCCCATTTCTCCCTGTCTCTTTTAAGGAAAACTTAAAAGTTGTGTCATCTATACTTACTATCCTTATGTCTTCACTTCTTAGTCTCCTGGGCTCAGAGAGTGAATTCAGGCTTCCAACCCAAACTCCTTCCAAAGGACCCTACCAAAAGGGTTCTTACTGAATGCCACAGCGGGTTCCCAGACTTCCCAGCAACATGTGACACTCCCTCTTTTTTGTATAATTTTATCACTTTGCCTTTTTGACCATCATACTCCCTGATTTTCCTCCAACCTCATTGGCTGATTCTTCTCAAACTCCTTTGCTTTATCTTTCTCCTCTCCCTGGATCTGAAATGTTGTAGCCCTTAAAGCCTCTGTCCTTGGCCCTCTTTATCTGTGACCTCTTCCTTGGTAGAAACCTGAACGTGAGCCACCACTGCAAGCCACATGTGCCATTGCAGAATTCCTAGTTAGTCGCATTTAAAAAGCAAATGAAAACGGTGTGTGTGTGGGGGGGGGTACTTTGACCTCAGCAGAGCCCAAACATGATCATATTTTATTTAACTCAATAGAACCAAGATAGTAGTGACTTGACAGGTAATCATCATAAAACTAATAGCAAGGGGATATTTTACGTTCTTTTTTATTTTCGATGCTAAGTCTTTGAAATCCAGTTAGCATCTCACACATACGGCTCATCTCAATTTGAGCTGTTCAATTTCAAGTGCTCGACGGTCCCAGGTGACTAGTGGCTACCACATCCTAAATGATCTCGTTCAGATTTGAAGTACCATCTATACACCTCTGTACTACATAGCCTTATAACCAACTGCCAAGCCAACATCTGCGTGGAACTCTTGCTTCCCCTCATACTCACTTTTCCCCCTACCCCGGTTTTCCCCAGCTCTGAAAAATGCCACTAACCAAATGCTCAGACTGAAATTTGGGAGCTCCTGATTCCTCTCTTTTCCATCTTACGCCACATCTAATCCAACAGCAAACCTTGGGAGTCCTCCTCCTTGGGAGGACTACGTATTTCTGGAATCCAGCCATCTCTGGCCCCGTCTGAGCCACCATTATCTGGTTGCTGCATCATAGTAATGACCTATCGATCTCCCCGCTTCCATTTGCGCCTCCTTACTTTCCACATGGTGGCCATGTTAGTCCTACCAGCCCCCTGCTCGAAACCCCCCAGTGGCTTGCCAGCACTCTCAAAGTCTCAGCTCCTTACCCACCCCCACCCCCGGACTTTATGTGATCTGGCCCCATGCTCGTGCCCCCCTGACCGCCAATCCTGCCACACCCCTCCTTCCTCCCTCACTGCAGCCTCACTGGCCTTCTCATCCAACATACCCAGCCCCTTTTGATCTCAGGACCTTCGCACTTGCTGCTCCCTTTGCCCAGAGGGCTCTTTCCCTGACTAGTTCCATGGCAGGCTCCTTTGTAGCTTTCAAGTCAGCTCAGATGTTCCCTCCCAGAGAAGACCTCCATGACTATCCTGGCTGGAGCCTACGGTTTCTCTCCATCACATGGTTCTTTATTAACACCTTTACAGCCCTCAGTGGTACTTAAAATCATATTCTATAGTAATTCACTTGTTTCTTGTCTGTCTTCTCTAGTAGAAGGTAAATTCCATAAGGTCAGGGACCTTGTGTATTTTGCCCATCACTGGATCTCCCAGCCCCTAGAACGGTACCCAGCACACAGCAGGCACTCAATAAATGTTTGGTGCACGAATGCCTCAATTCAGTAAAAGAAGGGGAAGTAACACAGGAGCCATCTTTGTGGTCAGAAATTTCTTAGAAGTAGAGGTGTGCTATAGGAGCATTTATCTGGGGGGAGGGATCCCCTTGTTTTCCCAGCTTTGCAGGGCCTTCCTTCTCTCTTAGTGAGGTGGGGCCTGCTTCTAGGTTGTTCATCTATGCAGAACCAAGCACGCTCAGGCCCCTCCTGTCCTCAGTGTAGAGAATCCACTCCTACGTGTCCCAGCCACAAGAACCCTGGGTGTGGAGCCCTGTTCAGCTAGGCTAAGCCTAGAACCTCACAGAGGAAGCTTCAGGAACAGATACCCTGCCTCCTCCTACTTAACAGCCCTCCACCACGGGCAAAAGTCCTTTTTGCTCGCCTTCAGGCTGACCTTATTAACCAGAGCTTTGCTTCCCAAGTACCCTCCCTCACAGAGGCATCATTGCATTTCTTTTTTTATTTTATTTTATTTATTTATTTGAGAGAGAGTGAGAGAGAGCATGAGAGGGGAGAAGGTCAGAGGGAGAAGCTCCCCATGGAGCTGGGAGCCCGATGTGGGATCAATCCTGGGATTCCAGGATCATGACCTGAGCCGAAGGCAGTCGCTTAACCAACTGAGGCACCGAGGCGCCCATTATTGTATTTGTTTCATGTGTCTCAGGACAGCTAATCTAAATCTAAGGTGTATTGGTTCCTTCATTATACCAAGCCTCTTTAAGAGTGGCCTTTGGGCCACCTCCTCTGCTCTGTACTTTTGTGTATGATACTTAGCAAAAACTGCTATCATTTCATTGGTATCTCAAAAAAGTCACAATGTTTGGTCTCAGATACCAGCTTGACCGTGAGCCTCCCTGGTTTCAACTAGTTCATCAACTTCCTGCTTCCGGCAGGATGGGAGCCAAGTCCTTGACTCTTGAAGTCCTCGGCAATCTGGTGTCCCCTGCCCCCCTTCTGTTGTACTAGAAGTCCACCCCCCACTCATACCCTCACATCCAGAATTACCCATCATTCCCCAGATGCACCATATGCTGTCAAGTTTGGTGCTCTGTCCACTTGGCCTAGAACGTCAACTCTTTCATCCCCACATCCTTAAAATCCTACCCTTTCCTCCAGACCCAGCTCACAGGTCACTACCCGCGCCCCATGCTTGTGGCCCTTTGTGCATGCTTCTATCCCACCTGATGTCTCCTTGAAGACAAGGACCATGTCTTGCCTCTCCAGATGTCACCAACACCTAGAACGAGGCCAGGTGCACGGGAGGCACGCACTGCGTGTTTTTCTGGATGGGTGAACACAAGAGCAGGGAGTAGGGGGTGCTGCCCCGACAAACAGGAAATTGGTAGGGAAAGCAGTCCCCTTTTTTAAACACAATGGGACAATACAAAACACATTGTGGGTAAAAATCCCCTCAGCACGAAATCCACAAAAAAAGCTGG